AGAGACTCAAAGCTTTTTGTCGTTTATCGACTCACGTTTCTTAGGCAAAAATATTTAATTTCACTGATAGATCATTTCTTTAAAAAATGCTTATTATTTCGATTTCAGCCTACAAATATAAGGGAGGTAAGGGAGGTATTGTTAGTAGTAGAATAGCGTGGCTCCATTACTAGGAACATATGAGGTCAACCTCCACATAGTCCTCCCCTAGAAACCATCATGATTAATACGAAGATAATTAATCACGAAGGGCTATCTGATCTGCCTTCATCCTCATCTATCATTACTCATTTGTGCCCCGCCAGCGTATATCGATAGCGCAGGCGGAATTACCATTCCATTTTTATCCCACTAAAAAAAAACTATTATTTTATGTTTATATGTTGTACAAGTGTATTACAAACTTACATTTGAAAAATACATTGTGATCGTATGTTATATTCAGTCGTAGATAGCCCAACTTGTACTGGTATATAATTAACATATTACAAAAATCCGAGTAGAGATAAAATCTTAGGCACAGAATACATAGATATTTATAATGTTTTATATAATCAACAGTATATTTACGATAAATAAATAAGTATTAATTACAATTTACCTCTTAAACAATAGCAGCAAACTATTGTTTGTTAAAAACACAATTGTTATTTATTATAACAAGTAACAAACTCGATAAAATTATGCCTCATTCTTGTTGCATGTAACAAGATCCCTAATTACTTTTTTACAAAACATGCCAATTTATTTGTAGCATTGTTAAGAGTTTCTCTTTCGGTTGTTATTGAATACGAGATGTACATGTATACAATTACCGATTGTTGCAACTCTTTTTTTCTAATATTTCTCTAGCTATAGATAGTCTATCTACTTAGACATGTAATATGTATAGACTAATATTTTTTAAGAGATTTCTTTCTTTTTTCAATGTTTATTTTTGAGGATTTTATTAGATTTACTTTTGTCCAAGAAAAATAGCATCATACTATAAATAAATAAATATACTAAAAATAAATATAAATATATAATATACTTAGTATCTATATTTCTACAGATAGTATGAATAATGTTATGAATAAATGTGAATAATGAAAACCTGTTTCAACAAAAATACAAGTGAAAATGAATACAATACTTCATTCATAAAAACAATAATAATAAGTATCACACAAACACACATCTCCTTTCTGGACTCTTGAAATAAATTCCAATAAATTGATATTGAAATTGAGACATTTCGCGCTCTCAAATTGCAATAGTAGCGACATAATGATTCCATATTGTTATGATAGGTGCATATTGGTGTTACTTGACAATGCAAACTGTTGTAAACAGATCTCAATGATAACCCTAACTGTTGTTTCATGAGTGCAGTATAAAACTGTCATTGGCAATAAATTGGATTGATATTGATATTAGATTCAAGAGTAGCGCTACTGGTCCTTAAACTGAAATACCTTGTATTATGATGCAAGGAACGAACGTTTGAGGTACAACTCACAACATCTCTTTCCAATCCAATTCAGAAGTACATTTCCTAATTTGACCCGACCAGAAATCGAACTCGAAACCTTATTTACACAAAGCAACATGCCCACCACTGCTTTACGGGTCGTCTGCGATTTATTTTGAAACAAATTGATTAAAAAATGAAATCAAATAACGACTGTATTCAAAATAAATAGCGCGTTACACAAGTGACATTTTAATCTTCAAATAACACCATAGACTTAGGACTCGAGAATTTAAATTTTATGTTGTATATAAGAAGTCACGTTTCTCTCAATTGGTGGCTAAATTACTGCCGATCTTTAAGCACGACGTGAACATCACAATTCTACATTATTAGATGCTAATCTTGTTTTATTGCATAATAATCAAAGAATAATGGGTGCGTTCAGTCGGACTTTATTTAAAGATCTCCCCTAACTCAACGCCTAACGTTCTTCCCTAGAGTCATGAACTATAAAGAAATATCTATTATTTACACTAAGTATTTATAATGTGTATTTATAAAGATTACGTAAAGCAGAAATATTCAAAATCTATCTCAATTCCAATATGACTCTAACTGTTGATATTTTAATGATTGTCATCTTGTTTGAAATACAACAAACAGTGCCAATGTTAAAACGCTATCCAAAATACAATGTATTTATCAATAAATATTTATATTATTACTTATATTGCACTAATTTATTGGTCTTTGGGATCAATAAGTTACAAGTTTCAAGTCAAGTTTGCGAATTCGAGGCTGGCCGCCATCAAAAACTTTATATGCCGATTAAAATCTCAATTGATAATAACTAATTCTTGAATATAGCATAAAGGCCTAAGCCGTTTTAGAGAACATCGTTTCATTTACAAAAAAAAAAAAAGAAAGTAACTTCGATAGAAGTTTTAAATGTATGGCTATAAGATATAGTAATTGGAAACGCGTAATATTAGACTGATAGCAATTGTGACATTAATATATAGGAAATAGTACACTGTTAGTCATACCTAAATACGTAATTAGAATTAAGTTTTAGGAGTCATATCTGGTAATGAAGCCGCGGGCGGCGCCACGAGTCAGAGGCTTTGTTGCGTGTGCGCGAGCCATTACTGTTTGTCTCGCTGTTTTGCTCCAGTTTCGTGCCGGTCCACCGACTCATTCTTACAAGGAAACCACGCCCTAGGACTCTCTGACACAACAGCTATCTACTGATTGCAACAGCTTTCACGATATCGAATAACATTCACCACTATTATGTGTAGTTGGCAGCATTTTGCGGTGCTTATTACAAAATAGCTAAGTTATCAAATATTTTCACAAAGCAAATAAATAATATTTATTTAAATTCTACACAATACCATGATTACTTTTATGTATGACTTGTGCAAATAGCTAATGTGTTGTATAATCTTACCAATTATTGGCCTTTGTTTCATCAACTGTAATCATATTCCTCTCCAACAGATACATACGACATTAAATTTGCATGAAAAAAATTAAATTTCATACTATTTACATAATTATCTTTCACATATTTTTAAAAACAACACTTACACTTTACTTGTGTATACACAACAATACAATTTCATTAAAATTAATGAACATCAATCACTCGTAAAAGTGATAGTCTTTTGAACAGAGCTTCATATAAAGGAATAATGATTAGTAAATTCATACGATATAAAGAAGAATAAACTCGCATTATGGTCCATAACTCTGGTTATTCTTTTTCTAAATTATTTTCAAAATAGATAACTTCATTACATATTGGCTTTCATTTATTATCTACCTCAATTTATATCATCTGTATAAAATATTTCTAAAGAAATATATTCCTAATATTTTTTTCATGTAATAAATAAAAAGAGACTATGGTATTTTTATCAACATTCTGATTAGATCACCTTTATAACTTTACAAGATTGTTTCTAGAACAATTTCATACTAAAGATGAATGATGCTCTCAAATGTAGGTGTATGAATGTATCCATATAAATTGGATAACTCTATAGTGTTACAATTTAAATAGACGTTACATCACTTTAATGGTCTCGTTAATGGTTTGGCATATAAAGGGATTGATGATATAAAAATACTTTCTATGATATGATAGACAACGAACAATAAAAGACAGTACAACAAATAATAATATTTTATAATTAGAAAGGCAACCCAATTTATATTTAGCTAATGACCTGATGATATTATATACCTAAACTTTCAAATGGTCGTATGTAATTATTTCCTTTTTTTACATAGTTACAAATAACAACAGTGTTGTTATTAATTGACAAATGTACCTACTTCTAGTACAATTTAAAGAAGTGAACTGACTATCACAGATATTAATATATTCAATGTATATTACATATAAATATATCTATAATATAAATAGTGTTGTACCAGTATTATTGAGGAGTAATTTTGACGATTTTACAGTAGTAGTTGTACAACTATACAATTTTTAATATATGCAATGATAACCCCTCGTACGCGGGGAGAAAGAAATTGTTAGTAATGGGGTCTAATGAACCCATTGCTAGCAATACCCTGGAAACCATCGTGGTTAATTCCCATTAACCCTTTCTGCGCCATCGATGTGTACTAGCGGGGTACCAGTGGACGATAATAAGTTACTATATATTGAAATAAGTTGAACAATCTTGACGACACACGGTTTTTAGGAAGAAAACGGTGGGGAGATCAAACTGACAGTATACCTTTAGGGCTATTTAGACACCAATATTAATAATCGCTTTCCCCCATGCATATACGTGTAGTCCTAGTATTAAAACATAATTATTTTTAAGGCGCAATAAAAAATAAATAAATAAATGGAACCTCTATATTTAATAGTGTATAATACATTAACGCGTATATCGATCACTCTACCGATCGTGCACAAATTCATCTCGTTAGACATTTTTAGTTTGAAGGTCTTTTCCGAAGATTTAAGTGCTGTACTAATTAGCCATAATCACGTATTATATTAAACACAGCATATCGCGTATCATTTAAAACAGTAGTGTCAATTAATTGTTTATATATTTAAATCGATGCTAACTGCAACCGAATTATAATGTCTTTGAAGTATACTTAATTTAATCTGTAATAATTTTTTTTCCAATTAATTACCTACCTATGAGATATTATTAATAAAAAAGCTATAGGTATATCTATTTAACACTATTTCTTGTGCCACTTCCTCAATTATTTAAAGTGGGGCACTTTTTACGAGTACATCGAAATATTTAATTGTCATATTATGTAATTTTGGATGAGGCATATCGGAACAATTCATTGTGGATGGTTAATTGTAAATGTAGCAAGACTATTGTTCAGTTTTGATGCGCGTGCGAACGGCACGACCCGACTATTGTTTCAGTGTAGGCAAATAATTGATATGTTTGCGCGACTGGTTATTATATTTTAATCCGATACAATACATTGATTGGAAGTATTTTTATTGAATTATTTATTAAATTATTATGTATTTTACTTGCAGATGCGACGGCAGGCTCGGATATCAACTGGCGGCGCGTTGATCGTGCGCTCCGCCTCTGCACTGCAAGGTATCTACCTAAATCACAAGTATACCTAACACAATTTATGCGATACCTAAAGAGTCTCATATCTGGTAGAGCATTTATAATGCTTTATATTGGTACAACCAAGTTCATTGCAGCAGATAAAAAGAAACCAAGAATCCCTAGATACATCTCTTATTTCATTCATCTATAATTCATTTCATGCAAACACGCTCGTTAATCTTGACTCCTATTTCAGATAAGTAACACCTAGTCTAAGGTCTGTAGTAAGGTAGGTAGTAAAACATGCTATACACGAATCGTAACAGAACTTATTTTATATAAAATATAAAATCCTTTATATATAATTTCGGATTCTCCTAAGTCAATGATAAATAACTATACTCTGGATAAACATATTTTTTAATGGATGTTTATGGAATTGTAACCCTGCCTGATCTATTAGTATACGCTAGCGGAGCACCAATGAGGGATGATAAGTGAAAATAAAAATGCAGGTCAATTAGCATTATCATGGGAGTAAGCGCATTTTTTTTTAATGGATGATAATGGAATGGTAACCCCGCTCGCGCTTTCAGTATACGCAAGCGAGGCACCAATGAGGAATGATAGGTGAGGATGATAGCAAGTCAGTTAGCCCATTGTGACGAATTCCACTAGAATTAACCACGATGGTTTCCTGGAGGAACAGCATGCAGGTCGATCTGATAGGGTGTATTGCTAGCAACGAGTCAATTAGCCCCGGGTAAGCGCATTACATCGTTAGTCTTAACATTATGTTTCATTAAAGGAGGTAGATAAAAGCGCAAACCCACCTCCTAATAAAAAATTAACGGGAGAAGAAATGATAGCGGCATTACAGCACATTAAGTATGTGAATACAGATCTTACATGATATGATATGGCATAACAAATAATGTAAACTTGTATGCTTTGTACCTTTTAAAATTTGCTGATATTGGTATACAACGAAATCCATGATATCAGTTGACGACAATTAGAAATTAAAACAAATACTAGAAAATATAGCTCATTTTTACAAACTATAAATGTGTTAGTTGAATGAATATACTTGATTTTATTAGGTGTAATTATGTTGAAAATTAATGAATTCCCAACTAGCCAGACTCTGTGATGAAATATACTGAAATATAATCATTTATTATTATAACATCGTAAACCATTTTTTGTTAATAATTTTAATATTAATATCTAATACGTCAATATATCTTTTATTTCAGTATGGCTGTGGTTGTTAATATTTATATTTCAAAACGAAATCACACGAATATCCGGAACTATTAAACCAGGTGTAAGTACCTAACATAACGTTTTATGTCAGCATTAATATCTAGTCAAATAAATATTTATAGATATTACATTTATTTATGACTTATTTTATACGATAACTCGAATTTAGGATTGCATTTATTAATTATTGAAATATGCCCGCTTATTTTAATTAATGTTTAGAGACTTACCTCTTTATTCATAAAAACGTCAAACCTCTCATAAACCTATTTTAGCTATTGAATTGTTTCTTCTCTTCCTTTTGAGTTAAATTCCTAACTTGAAAAAAAAACACAACAGTGTAATAGTTAAAATAGATTTTTAGGTTTTAGTCTTTATGAATAAAGGGGTTATTTTTTTTATGAATAATTAATTTCATTCAATTAGTCATATGTTATATAGTATAAGATTTATATGTAAAGGAAGTAAAACATTTATTCTATTTTAAGACATTCATATCTATTTTAAGATTTAAAGAACGTTTATGTATAAAATGGTCAAAAATCATGCTTACTTTATATTGATAAACAGTTACTGTACCCTATGAATCCTTTAAGTACAAACTAGTGCTTACTTTAAGCTTGACCAGCTTTGTAAACTTCTCGAATTAACCTCTAGTTCCTAATTGATGTAAAGAAAAATTAAAGCATTCTAACAAATTCTCTTCTGTCTTTACAAATTGTCGGATACGATCAACAATAGCATACGTTACAATTTTTAAATATTGTTTTCTAACTTTATATACTAAAATCACATATAGAGATGTTTCTTTTTATTAATCGCATATTATAATAATGTTTCAGTACTTGGATTTCGATAACCTACCTGAGACGAATTTTACGTGTGCGGGAAAGGTGATCGGCGGGTACTACGCCGACCTCGAGACATCCTGCCAAATGTTCCATGTGTGCACCGTAGGTCAGCAGGATGAGCCTATGGATATCAAGTTCCTTTGTCTTAATGGCACTGTCTTTGATCAGGTAATTTTTTCCAGTTCCCAGTTTTATTCCATCCTATATTCTGTTATAAGCTCTTTCTACTTTACTTTATTATTAAATGTTGAAACAAATAATTACAGTAAAACCAAATAAAAAATAATTCAAACTTACAATTTCATTATAATATATTGAACAATTTAATAAAATATTTCAGTGACACGCCTGACAAACAACTTTCGCATTTTTTACTCAAAAATTTTAAAACACAACCTCGACCTTCATTTTTAGAAAGTTAGGTCAGTAAACCTATCTTTGATTGGAAATAAATTTCTGAAAATAAAGTTATTTAATAAATATCTAGAATTCATTAATAATTTGACATTAACCGAAATATATTTATTTTACAGGAGACTAGAGTATGTGAGAGAGTAGATGAAGTAGATTGTACAAAGTCTGAAAAGTTTTACAGTTTAAATTTAGAATTATATGGTAGCACGGCACCACCCATAATACAATCAGATGTTGAAAATCAAGAAAAACCTGAAGCTGAATCAACCGAACACTCTAAACAAACCAAAACTCCTCATGAGCAGGAAATCGATCCAGCGTTAGACGAAATTTCCTCTACGACCCACGATACTAGTAAAACTCAGAATCAGTCATTAGATATTGCAGATACTACTGAAGATCCTATTCAAGAAATTAAGAAAGATGATCCAAAAAAACTCCTACATCATCAATCGACATATCAACCTATACAAGTAGCAGAACATGAGGAATTAACGGAAGGTGAAATTACTTATTATATTACTTATATTTACGTTGAATTCAAATACAAAACTAATACTACTCGAATACTAAGCTTGATTTGAATAAAATGTAATTTTTTTTTAACATTGTACCTATTGAAACCTTTTTATGACTATTTCAGAATATCAAGACGATGAAGATACTGTATATGAAGACTATCCACATTCGCCAACGACGACTACATCACCATTTACCACAACAACCACAAGAACAACAACAAGATCGACGGCACGTTCTACGACAACCTCGACCGCAACAACCACATTAAAACTACCAACAACGACAATTTTTTCGTCACCTAGTACATCATTTCGATCATCTCCTGTAACCCATTTGTTTTCTTCGCCTTCACCAACGCTGTCTTCATTATCACCACCTACGTATTCTTCTATATCTTCTTCATTGGATCCTTCTCTTCTCTCTCCGCAAGAATTTATCTATCGTCACCGAGGCCCAGGGTCAGATGCAATCTCGTTTCAACGACAAAGTTTTCGTCCAGCTGATGGGGTTTATATAACACATGCACCGCCCCAGCAATTTGATCATTTTCAATATGAGTCATCGAGAACGGCGCCAAGACCAGCAGTATCTCGACCATCTCCATTTGTTCAACGACCACAGCCAGCACCATTTCGACCCACAACGTTAGATCCTCGTGATCAATTATTACGCCCAGGACCTACGTTCCAATCATCAGAAAGACACGAAACATCAGTGAAACACAAACAGTCATACTCTTCACTGCCACCTCAACGACCTTTACCTTTTAATACTTTCTATTATGATCGTAAAAGAAGTGAAGATTCTATCCCAGAAGATGAATCTTCGTTGTCACCTCGATCAGTTGCCCCACCAACCGTAAACGAAAGACCTCCCACAAAACTAAAAAGTCCGCCTCGCGTGATTGTCACAGCCAGTGCATCTGTTAGTGACAGCAATGGCAAAAGACTAAATTATACCGTGGGCAACGTTGTTAATGCTGTAAAACCTATTGTACAGATTAATTATGATGACTACAAAGAGTCAGACCTCCTTTTTGATCCATTCTTTCTCGATGTACCGAAACTGCAAAAACGTCGAAAGAATAGATCCTACAGAAAAATCTTTACAGTTCCTGATACAGCAACTATATCTTCTGAATTAGCGGCAGAAAAAACAACGGCAACTATGTCACCTGTAACATCTCGAGCTACTACAACTGAGCGACCAGCAACGACTCCTTTTACTACCACGGACACACCTGCTTGGAACCCGAATGACTATGTCGATGATAATTATGAACCTCACGCTTATATACCGCCCATTCCACCCTTAGCAATATTAGTGCCGCAAGATCGAAATAAGTTTAGAAATCAAGATAGAAAATCAATTAATGATTTTATTGACGACAAGAATCGTCGAGATAAATCTGAAGCTGGTCATTTAGAACAGTCCAAGCCGACGTCTGCAGCGCAGACAATCTCTAGTCAAAATACGAGTGCGGGCTCAGGCGCAGGCGTGGCGCCTACTGTCACCGCCACCTCACTGTCGCCACCGCCACCTCTCGAGGCGCCCACCTGCGCTTCCTCGCGCTCATCTGACTGTCGGACTCGTGCCTAATATAATAATTAGCTCACTTTGTAATGTAGATAGGTAGTTCCATATTTAGGTAGGTAGTGAATTTTTTAACAATTTTCGGCACGATATAAGAATTATCAATCGTATTCAATTTCTATTGAAACAATTCTCATATCGTGTCTAATCTTTAATCTGTTCATGACAGATTTCGATCCTTTAAACTTAATATATTATTTATATAATAATGCTAATTATGATTGCTGTAAATAAAATAAGGAAATATGTTATTGCTACGATTGTATTTTAAAGTTCATATCGTTTTTTAATATATAACGATATTCATACAAGATTACTTTGTAAATATCATGAAATATACATTGTTTCTATATTGCATGTAAATACTTTATTAACCCATAGTTTTGATTGATTCCTTATTTATAATTAAAATACACAATTTTAAGAGATCCTAATTCTTCTAAATTTTCTAATTTTTATTATTTATAGATTAAGTATTCTGTGGTACATCATGCTAGTATTATATATAATATTTATACTATTTGAACTACATGTTTTTCTTTATTTTAATTTGTATTTACATACACATTTCATAGGTATTATTTTTTACGACAAAGATTCAATTTTAATCATTGTTTAATGAAGTCACACTTTAATTTAAACCTAACGGTCACAGTAATCTCTCCTTTTCTTCTTCGTTATTGAAGGAAATAAAAGAATCTAAACAGATTTTTTTTTTTGCAACTTAAGTTATTAAACCTAATTAACCAAAGATGTCAAAATTATTTTTCAAATCACTTTGTTTATAAAACAATAAAATACAGATGTTTATTTACTTGACAATTAAATGTCAAACCTACTCGATTTGAAGTTGATATGATATTTAATTTGTGATTCTTGTGATAGATTTTGAATAATAGATACCTAAACTACCAAATTATTTATAGAAAATATTCATCATGGCGTCAGGTTCTAACACTAGTATAATGAGTATTAGAGATATGATTGATGCAGCTTTTGGAGATTCTGAAGTAAGTTTGATTTCCAATTAAATTTTAAACGTTTAACAAATTTACTTTCACACATTTTGATTTGTGTTCGATTGAACGGTATATAAATTGATGTACTACAGTGTCCTCTAGTGGCCATTTACAATAAAATATATACCGATAACATTCTCCATGCTCAAATTCTTATATAACAACTATCTGACTTAGCAAACTTTGATTTCTCCCGTCATCACCTTTCTTATCCTTCAAGTTGGAATAAATAATACACATTTACAATTTCATTAAAATCGGTTAAGCAATTACGGAGATCAGTGTGAAAAAACACCATGTCACAAGATTTTTGTATATAAAGACTAGTTGTATCCCCCGGCTTTGCCCTCGTGAATCAATACATAAAGTATCGTATGTGCTAAGTTAGAAATTTCATTCAAATCTGTTTAAGAGTTTTAATATAATATTCAAATGTTTTTAATCCACCTATTCCTATAAATTATAATATTACTAGAGTGAACAATTTTTTTTATCTAATCTGGAAATAGTAAGTATGGAAATTGATAAGCTGAATATACCAACCTACTAACATCCCTTTGTATAGGTACATATTATTATATAAATAGAATAAATAAATAAGTACCACACATACCAATTGCCTGATCGTCAAACGAGATGTACACCTGTACTAGAGAAACCAGACAACGAATATCTGGGGACACGACTCAGAACATCCAGACCCGACCCAATTTAGATAAGTTCATTTTCTAAATTAGCCCGATCAAAACTTTAACTCAGGATCTCGTTACGCAAAAGAAAATGCCTACCACTACGTCACAGACACTGTCATAAATATAATATACTATCATTACAGGTTAATGTAGTAAACCACAAATTAATTCAGACTATTCTTTACCTTCTCGCAAGACAACTCCGAATATTAGAAAGACGGGTGCAAATTGAAATAGTTCCTAATATGGAAATGGAATCTGGCAGTAGTCTTTCAGTCACGGAAGTAAAATTATATGCCAATGTACCTAAAAAAAAACATCGATCGATGAAAATGACAAGTAGTAGCAAAGGAGGTAAAGTAGGTACAACAAGTACTACCATAGAACCAGTGAGTAAAGGCGTATTAACTAAATATACTGGTGTTATATCCAGAACTTCGGAAGAAAAAAGTGGTAAAAGACGTCAAGAAGAAAAACCTTTCCAAAAACCAATAGACAAACAATTTACTGCAGACAAACCATCTACTAAGAAATCTTCTATTGATAAAACTTCTAGCACAATATCTACTTTGCAATCACGTTCAGATAAAACTTCATCTGAAAAAACAACAAAGTCAACTGCTGAACCTCCTTCCATGGATAAAACATTCTTCGAAAAAACATTATCGAATATAACTTCTACAGATAATATATTAAATGATAAAATTTCTTCAGACAAGTTTTCTATATATAAAACTTCGACGGAAAAGTTTACCACTGACAGAAGTAGCACTGAGAAGTCATCCGAAAAGGTAACTGATAAGTTAACTTTAGATAATAGAAGTATAAACAGACCTAATAAAACATTTACTCAAATATGTTCTACCATATATACCTATATACCTGCATAATTTTAGATGTCAATAAAATAATCCTGTAATATTTTATCTCAAGTAACTTTACTGTAATAATGTAAGTTCATAGTATTTATCGCAGGATTACCACAAACTGATGGAGAAAATCGAAGAGAAAAGAGAGATAGAATTACGTGTCATTCATCAGGTGGAATATTCACATGTATATTATATGTATTGATTTTTTTTTTTTTAGCAGCGTTCCTGTTACTTCGGTTTTGTTTTTATTTATATTTTTTTTAACACCACATGGTAAGTGTTTTATAAATTTACTGGGCATCCAGGCTATTTAAAAAATAATTAACTTCTTATAATTACAAATTAGAAAAAGATGTTCTTCGCTATGCACCTTAAGGAAAAGACTTAAACCATATATCCAGTACCTTTTCGAAAACCTGCTTGCACATCCCAACTTTTACTCTCCGTTTCACTCATCACTCTTTTAATCAAAAATCTAACATACAGTTTGCCTACAGCACTAAAAAAGCTTATTTCGCAGAAATTTTTCCACTCCTGCTATGACCCGCTGCCTTTATATAAGAACCTTCGATTATATAGGTAGTCTCCATAGAAATACTTCGAGAAAAACGAGTCAACTTTTTCATACAATTTTGCGTAATAAATAGTTATGAATAATTCCTTTATAACTTCTATCTTTACTTTGTCTTGTAATTTTTTATCCTTTTAATGCGTAAATACTTATTTTATTTACTAAACTAGCGACCCGCCCCGGTTTCGCACGGGTGCAATGCTGATACTAAATATACCTACCTATTACAGAATGTCCTTATAAACAACGTTTACAGTTTTTTTGTCATTAGACAATACAAACATGATAAAGTACTGTAGAGGGAAGCACGCTTCGACGCGCTATTTATAGGCACGCGCCGCTAGCCGGGCCGGTATGCCGCACAGCTATGTCCCTGCATTTTAAATCTGCAATATCTTCGAAAATATTCATTTTAATTACATGCTATAAAGGGCCATACTGATCTATAATAAATGGACAATATATTTAAGGTACTTAATTGGATAAAAATTAATAAGGTATTGCTTAAAATCACTTCGTAAATAAGTCTTTTTTTCCGTAAAATGTAAAGGATAAAAAATGGCTATTGTGGGTTATCCTTAAAAGATAGACATATACCATCACGGACTTTTTTGTTAACCTTTTTAAGATGTACAATACTGTATTACATTATTTTGACTTATCGCGTCGGATTCAGCCAGCGTTTGTAAATAAACACTTGTTAACACAATTAATAAACACAACCAAAAAAGTGTTTATTTACGACATCACATTAGAAACCTCTAAATTGATCAGTGTTTCTCTACGATATTATGTATGTATTATACATATAAACCTTTCTCTTGAATCACTCTATCTATTTAAAAAATCCGTTGTGTAGTTTTAACAATTTAAGCATACATAGGGACGGACAGACAGCGACAGTGATTTTGTTTTATACTATGTAGTGATAATACGTCAAGATACATTTTAAGCGTAAGTATATAGAACACTGATAAAAAAAAACATGTCAGCTAATTCTCAAATTAGCTGACAAAATATTGACCCTTTTTTGAGCCTCCATGCTCTATCTACATAATCTAAGAGTAGCACAATAACGGTTTTACCCGTTACCTGGTACACAACTGGACCGCCAACATTTATTAAAGGGCAGGTACAACAAGTTTACAATGATCTCTCTATCTTCTTTAAGCAGTTTAACAGATATTCTGTCAAATCCCTCTGCTTTACTAATTTCATAGTCTTCATTACATTTATTACCTTATCCATATTTATAGCACTTTCATTGTCAACTTCTTCATTCATTATTTTATTTTCAACATCCTCTGTCTCGCTTCCACGTTCAAATAAATTTTCAAAATATTTCTTCCAGTGATCTAAGACTTCTACTTACTTTCTGAATATATTACTATCTACCTATATCTTATCACTTTTACTTTCGAATCTTCTTTTTTACCTCTAATTGTTCGAACTAAATGCCAGAATAGCTTTTGATTAGCTCTAAAATGACTAGAAAATTTCTTTTCATAGTCAACCTTATATTCCTCTTTCTTTTCCCTTGTTATCTCTTTATTTTTCATCACATCATACTTTTCTTTTGCAATTTTTTCGTCACCATTTACATCATCTTGAATTCTTTTATTAACTCTGATGGCCAACATATCCATCCATGTATATGTACCTTAAAAATGTAATTATACTTTAAGTAAATGAAATTATGATGTAACAACATCATAACACCGTTATTTAATCCCATTTAGGATTTTTTTTAAGAATATACTTTAAGATTGGTCCTATATTTTTTTTTTTAAATTGGTTATTGGTTGTTTAGTTTTTAACAAAAATAATTTTGGCAAGACTGAAGTCGGTATCATTTTGTGAAATAAAATTTTATATCCCGCGACGTTTAGAACTCTTTTAATTCTACGAAAGGAATTCTTGGTTATCAAACCATATAATCATTCAAATATTTAATTATTAACTATTGCTATTTATAATTAAGAAAGCAATAAATTACGGTAAGAATATAAGTACTTAGCTTTTATTTACAGAGAGCGAATTCACGAGAAGAACAAGACAGAATCCCAACACCGATGGCTTCTTTGGATACTATGGGTATGATAAACAGCATACGAATGAATTACTCGTAATTATAATAACAATACAAAATCATATTTTTACCATTTACAGAAATGCAATACGAAAAGTTACTTATTGGTATGTTGGTATTTTTTGTATGTAATCGTGATTTGTATTCAAATAAAAATTTAATTACAAGAGTATCTTTATTTTTTATTCAGTGGAGAAAGTACCTACTGATGAAGCAAAAGCAGCAGATAGTGAGTTACAAATGCTTACTGAATTATTGTGCAAATATATTTTTATATTTATTTCAATATATTTTTATATTAAATGCATTCAGGTCACTATCGGACATACAACCGTGACCGTACTCCTCGCTTATCAATTGTTACACACGAAGAATTTGCCGAATTGGCTACAACAGTTCGTGAACTTCAAACTCGAATTAGTCCAATTGCCGGAGCAGATTTCCCGGACAATATTAAGCTCATGCAAGATCTTCGTAAGGGTGCATCTTTAACAGACGCCATGGCTGCTTTACAACTTTCTGCTCGTCTTGAAGGTGCAGAAAAGGCAATACAAAAAATTACTTCATTAGTAACTGACCTCGCTAGTAGAACACCAGGTTTAGAAAATATACTTAATAAGGTATTTTTCATGTATACAAGTATAATGCGAAAATACAGTTGAAACTAATTTAATTATTCATTTATATTTATATAAATTAAGTGCATAGAGCCAGAAACTGAAGGTGCACTAGATAAACCAGCCCGCTCCACAGAATCTCTTGCTGTTTCCGTGACATCATATTCACACAAAACTGAAAAATTTCCTACGGATATTGCAGCTGACGACAAGAATAAAGAACATGATTATATTACTGTTGAAGATTTAGAGTAACCTATTTATTACCTATAATAATAATTATCTTTATTGAAAATGTATATTATAGTTTAAAGATAAGTCCATTCTTGATGTTTAAATTAGTTCTAATTAATAAAAACAAATTTGCTCAATCATTTAAGCATATCTGAGTAGGCATGAGTAATATCGGTAGCGCTACAATTATAGATATTGCTATATATTATCCATCTATACATCTAATTAATTTTTTAACATCTTTAGAAACTTTCACATTTATTCATTAGTGCCAAGGAAGTGTATTGTGCATAAGTAGTATTAGAATAAAGTATGTGAAATTAGTTAAAACAATCAGTCTAACTTCAATATTTTAATTTCAGTAATGCTCTACATGAATTATATGATGAGTTTCTAAAGAAGGTAACTGGTTTAACTACTCAAAGTAACAATAATGCCGATAATGCGCTTAAAATAGCAAATAGATTACGTAAGTTAAAGGGAAAGATTATAATTAAGATAGACTTTTTAAATTAGCATAAGTAGACATATTATAACCAATATAATTCACAACTAACTTTCCGGTGAAAAATAAAGCCTAGAATAAACCATATTAATCCGAGTGAGTATGGTTGATTAATCCAGTCAAATTGGAGCGTAATATGCCCGACGAAACCATTGTTACGTTCATCACAATGTCAATAATCGACAAATACCTTCGATTGGGGAGAAGGGACTGTTATTAATATACCCTATAGGTCGACCTCCACCCGGTTCCCCCTGGAAACTATAGTAACAAATTTATCGTTGAACTCATCACATTGGGCTAACTGAGCTGCCTTTTCATCCTCACCTATCACCTCTCACTGATACCCCGCTAGTGTACATCGATAGCACAGGCGGGATTAAAATGCCATTTTCACCCTTTAAAAAAAATATCTTCGACTTCTTCATAAAGGAATACTACTTATTAAAGAGAATGTTTGTTTTTGAGCAGAAGGGAAGTTAGAAGCCTCGTTAGATCTCGTTAATCGTATGAATAATCTGGAAATTTTAGTCTCTGAATATTCTGAACAAATAAATATCCTTGATACTGGTTTATCGTCACAGGTAATTATTCTATTCAATTAATATTTTATTTAAAATTATATATTAATAGCAAGAATGCATCACATCTATTCTTTACCTATTAGATGACAAATTATCAAGAACAATTAACTCAAATGCAACATGATTTAGAAACTGGATTGGAAACAATGGCAGAATCATTCGCTAATGCAGGTGGTGATACAACAGGTGAGAAAAGATACTGCAAAATGATATTTAATATATACAAACTGTTATTAAATAATGCAATTAATGATAATAAAAATAATTTTACAGCTGTGGCAGAGCTAAATACACAATTCACTAATCTTCAAATAGATCTCGATGCCACAAACTTACGACAAAAAGAGCTAAGAGACATTCAAACTACACTCTCCGTGGACCTTCAAGTGGGTTCTCATCAATTTAAAATATTATGTACCTAATATATCCAATCCTTTGTGTAGGACACATTTTATGGGTAATTCTCATATCGATCCAACAAACTTCCTTTCCACTTACAAGAGAGTTCTATTATCTCATGCTAGAAAAAAATAAAATTATATACCTTTTCTTTTCTTGAATTCGTAATCTTTATTTTTCACTTTTCAAACTGTCAAATTTTCAACTCATTAAACTAAATTTCTAATGTAGTTATTTTAACATTTACTGTATAAGTAGGTAGGTATTATATTTATGTATTTATAATATATTAATAATATTATAATATTTATTAATATTTCATTTAACTATTTATTTGTATATTAGTAGTATTAATGTTGTTCGTACAGCGCTCATGCACTTCAACTGCCCGCTAACGAGATACTTTCTCACCGTATTGGTGTTGACTGGAAGAGATCTCTTTCACAGATAAATATACCCTTACAATATTTATAAATGTATTATCTATGTAATTTACAAATGCAATATAGAATCTATATTTATAACACTCCTGAAACTGTAGGTCAATATTTTATTAGGGATTATGGAAACAAATAGAATTACTACGAGACACGAAATCCGATCGTGAAGAAGTAACAGATGCATTAAGAGATAAAGCTGGACTTGGTGCATTAAATAGACTTGTAAGTCTTCAACAATTTGATGCTATAAGAGGAGATTTTGAGAAACGAATTGGGGCAGCTTATGATAAATTCAATAACCAAGAAATAATCTGGCAAGTAAGTAATATAGCATAATTACTTAGAAATACATTACAGTAATGAATAAACTAGAAAGCACACTAGATTTTTACAAGTCATTTATGAAATAGAATTATCTCGAGATTTTTATTCTTACAGCTCAATCCAAAATTAGTTTATTCATTTTAAGTGTAAAAGCTAGATCATTACAGCCGTTACAACTCAGTTTCATAAAATTTAATAGGTTAAGATAGGTACCTCAAGCCCTGAAGAAAATCATACACTACTTTCATAAATTAACCTGTATGGATAGTTTAATGGGGTAAAGAATGTTTGTACTTGTAAAAAACATTTTTTTTAAACAACTTAGAACATGAAATGTGTTATTTACGTAAAATAGGCACTCAACTATTCCTACGTAAAAGATGTTACAAACATAGGTTAGTAGTAGTTAAATTTTCCTTTGTCTCCAGTACTCTAAGTACCAATTCGTATCACAGACACAGTACTTATTAAACCAAAATGATGACATCAAATAAATCTCGCAAACATCCGCAAGTATAAAACTGTCACTCACTAAATGTCAGAAGCTATTTATTTGTAGGTATCCAAGCTAAATCTACAGATCGATTTTCACCCCAATTTTCGCTGTCCACCCCCAAGTGTGATACATCATAAGTCGTGTCTCGCCGTCCTCCATCCATCGTCGTACCTTTCATACGTCTCGCTTTCACTCGCCCATACAACCGACTTTGAAAAACGTGAATTTTTCACGTTTTTCCCGCATAACTTTCGAATTTTCCTCCCGCGCCTGTCCCGATTCTTTCGTTTCTGCCATCCACCCGTCGCCCCGCGTCCGACGAGCCCACTCTCGGCCCGATCGGAGCAACTTTCCCCACCTAAATCACACTTTGTCTCTTCAAAATATTAAAATCGATTTTTTTTGACAGTTTTTCGTACCTAACTCAAAATTTTTGTTCCCCCCCTATACAGTTTCTCGACGTCATCGTTAAAATCTGATTTTTCCGCGTCTTTTGACAAATAGCACACCTACCTACTTGCCGCGGATCCAAAGTTCACTTTCGAACCGAGGTTACTTGGTGAGTAGTCGCGAAACACAAATCATCGATTTTCACCCCAATTTTCGCTGTCCACCCCCAAGTGTGATACATCATAAGTCGTGTCTCGCCGTCCTCCATCCATCGTCGTACCTTTCATACGTCTCGCTTTCACTCGCCCATACAACCGACTTTGAAAAACGTGAATTTTTCACGTTTTTCCCGCATAACTTTCGAATTTTCCTCCCGCGCCTGTCCCGATTCTTTCGTTTCTGCCATCCACCCGTCGCCCCGCGTCCGACGAGCCCACTCTCGGCCCGATCGGAGCAACTTTCGGCCCTCCCACCCACCCAGTTGTCATTACTTAAGAAGGCTAACTTCCGTTAGAGGAATTCTATAGTTGAAAAATTTTATCTCGAATTTTAACACGTTTTGCTGGTTTCCGTTCTCAAATTTATAGTTTTGTTGCTTCCCATAGTTACTTACCGTTTTCCCACCCCCTATCCCCCCTTCTCACCTTTACCGCTGTGAATCTAATATAACCTAACCAAAGACGATAAATTTGACCTCACATTCATCGTATTTTGGTTACCCACCCCCAAGTGTGATACCTTGTCGTTCGTGTCTCGCGATCCTCTATCGAACACCATATCTCTCATTCTTCTCTCTCATACACGCCCCTACAACCATCATCCAAAATCGTAAAATTTTCACGTTTTGCAGGGTTAATTTTCAAAATTTGTTCCCACACCATATCCAAATTATATTATATCTACATACTTCTCTTCGCCCCTCGTCCAACCACTCTCGGCCCGATTGGACCAAGTTTTCGAGAATAACGTTCGAAATTCATTGCCACACATATCTCTCTTTTTTTATCAATTATATAGATTATTAATAATAATTGTGTTTTCTCTTCTCTATCTGTCACCTTCCCATTCTTCCCTTAGTTTCATCCCATCTCAGTTTAGGAGACATCACCATGCCGATAAATAGGACGCCAGTCAGACGGCCAATTAATCTTCCATCTGACGTTTCTGCCAGGCGGAAGGAAGTTTCCTCCCCTATTGAGGACATACAGTCTAGCTTGCTCTCCTCTCCATGTCCCGAGTCCAGTCCATCTTCGACTCCTACACTTAGATTTGAGGAGGATCCCTTTTCACCACTGATGCCTACTACTTCGAACAACCCACCTGGTTCCCTTTTTTCCTCATGCCCGACAACAGAACAAAAGCCACAACCAGAATGCCTGGAGAAAATCCAACAACTAGCTTTGAGTATCGCGAGCACGCTACGATTCTCAAAAAGCGTCACGGCTGAAAATCGTAACAAGGTCATTGAAATAGCTCATGAAATTGCTAAATTGGCAAGTGGTACTATGGCCGCCCAGCTAGAGGTCGCTACAGACACGCTAGATGTTCTGAAAAGAGAAATTGGCTCAGTACGTGCAGATGTGATGGACATAAAAAATATCTTAACGGCCGGCACTTCTGCATCTGCAGACTCTCACGAAGGTGCAACAATTGCCGGTGAGGTAGTTGAAGGAGTTCGCAAAGAAATCGACAAGCTTGTCACCTACGAGCGTGCCCTCGCGTCGTGTACAACAACCTACGCTGACAAGGCTAGGATCATCCCGCCTAAGAAGCCGGCTGCATCCAGACCAGCAATTATAGTATCATCAACTGACCCCGCTGGATCCTCAGCTCACTACACTCTGAACACTATTAGGAAGAAACTGCTCTTTAGGAATATCGGTTATACCCCGTACAGAGTAGCCACAATTACGCAAGGCCGAGTTCGACTCGAGTTTGACAACACTCAGCAGCAGAAAGACACATTGGAAAGACTCAAGTCCATTCCGGAACTACAGGCCGAGTCCGTCAAGAAAAGCCTCCCTTTGATCATTCTCAAAGGAATTCACAAGGACCTGCCCTCAACAGAATTGATTGATACCTTACTCGATCAAAATCCAAGCGTTAAAGAAGCAGCAACCTCAGAAAAGGATGCCCAGTTAAGTTTTTTGAAAAATAATAGGAACCCTGTGTTATATAACGCCGTCCTACGAGTTACTCCTGCCATCTGGAGAGCCATTATGACCTTGGAAAGGGTCAATTTGGACTTTCAACGCGTTAGAGTAGATAACTTCTCCCCATTTAGGCAATGCTTTAACTGTCTAAAGTTCGGCCATACTCGAGCTAAATGCGATGCCAAGGATGTCTGCTGCTCTCATTGCGCTGGCGCTCACGCCATCAACGTCTGCCCTGTTCGCAACGACAACAGTAAAATATGCTGTGTTAACTGTAATGCTTACAACCAAAACACTAGAGCCAAAGTATCAACGTCCCACAGTGCTACATCTAGTTCCTGCCCTAGGATTTTAGCTGTAAGGCAGGCAATTGCAAACAACACAAACTATGGTTAACTTAAGTCGCTGCAATATACAAAATTCTAAACATCATCAAATTAATATATTACAATGTAACGTAGCCCGATGTTTCAGGGCACAACATGAGCTTATGCAGAGTTTCAACTCGGGCAACTACGACGCTGCGCTTATATGTGAGCCCTATACCGGTAGTAGAAACTTCATGGGAAACCCATATGACCATCATATTTTTCAGTATCCATCTAACTCTCGAGTTAAGGCTTGTATCGTCATAAAAAAGGGTCTTATTAGCGCTATTGGATTAGCAGAGCACTCATCCGCCAACGTTTGCACGATCCAAGTAAATACGGCTGGCAAGAAACTTTTCCTTAGTTGCGTTTATTTAGAACCTAGATATGGCAATCAGGCAGACAAGCACACTACTATGACTGGACCACAGGCGCTATTAAAGCTGGAAGCTTTTATTCGTACTACTGCCGATGCTATGCATTTGATTTGTGGAGATTTTAATGGATGGCATACGGCATGGGGCTCTGCTTCTGTCAATTCAAGAGGCAATGAAATCATGGATTTCATAATCGCCAATGACTTGATCATCTGTAATCAAGGCTCAGAACCCACATTCACAACTACAACGCACGGGCAATTACGGGAATCCATAATCGATCTCACACTGGCGACTGTCGGAGCGTCTCCCAGAATACGTAACTGGCAAGTTAACAGAAAGATTTGTCCATCATCTGACCACCATGCCGTTGAGTTCGTGTACACAATCCGAGGGCGAGAGCTTCGTTGTAACCAGACCACCACCACATACAGATTTAATACTAACAATATCGAATGGAACAACCTCAAAGCACCGTTCATGGATCATCTAATTCAAACTGAAATAACGACTCAAAACGTTGAAGCCATGAACGAGGAACAGCTGGAAAGCTTTGTAGTAACTTTTATCAGTGCTATTCAAGCTGCATGCGAGAAACTTCTGCCCCGATTTCGTGCCCGAGCTCCGCGATGCCCTTGGTGGAATAATGAGCTTCAGAGTAAAAAATTAGAGGTAGTAAAAAACCACCATCTTCTACAACGTCTCAAGCGTAGGGGAAAACCTATGGAACAAGCCCTGGCAGAGAAGAACCGGCTTAAAGAGGAATACTCTAAGATGTTTAACGAGGCCTCCACACGACACTTCAGACAATTTTGTGCTCAACAGGGTAAAGAGGATGTCTGGGCGGTCACCAATCGCATAATTAAATCTGTTCCAGCACCTCAGCCACCCTCTACCCTGAGACTGCCGGACGGTACATACACCCAGAACTCAGTAGAAACGGCAAAGGTACTGCTCGACAGATTTTTCCCGGATGACACGCCAGATACTCGAGAAATACATGGAGTACGGCGAATCGAGTCAAAATATGAACCACACACTGAGCCGGAGCCACGGTATACGACTGACGAGGTCCATAGGGCGATTAGTGAAATGAGTCCGAGAAAGGCACCTGGTCCTGACCACCTCACAGCGGACATTTGCCAGTTCGTAGTGGAATGTTTTCCTGAACTAGTAACATCTATTATGAACAGATGTCTTACGTTGGGGTATTTTCCAAGAGTATGGAAATCTGCTATCATTAAACTAATTCCCAAGTCCGGCGGAGGGGACTTCTCAGATCTTTCATCATCATCATTTCGTCCCATAGGTCTTCTCAATTTATTTGGTAAGCTCTTGGAAAAGCTCACAATCGGCAGATTATCTTTTCATATGCACGCGAATAATAATTTTAACCCAAATCAGTACGGCTTCAAATCTCAAATGTCAACTGTTAACGCCTTATATGACGCCATCGACCATATCAGACAAGGCATATATAAAGGCAGCTTTTGATAATGCCTGGTGGCCGCTCATCCTCTGTCGTTTGCAGCGTATTGGTTGCCCCTCCAACATCTATCGACTGATGGCCAGTTACTTGGAGGATCGTATCGCTACTTTTAATTATGCAGATACCTCGATTAATAAACTACTTACTAGAGGATGCATCCAGGGGTCGGTCTGCGGACCTTTCCTCTGGAACTTGATTCTGGATGAATTACTGGAAATGGAGCTTCCCATTGGCTGCAGGCTGCAAGCATATGCCGATGATGTCCTGCTTGTAGCTACAGCTAAGAATGAAAGCAAGTTACAGGAAATAATCAACACTGCTTTAGAGCAAATACAGGAATGGGGTCTTGATGCCAAACTGACTTTCAATCCAGTCAAAACGCAAGCGGTAGCATTCACTACTAGGGCCGCTCGATGCAATCTTTTCATGAATGCACACCCCATACAGTTTCACGACTACATAAAGATACTAGGTATAAAAATTGACCGTCGTCTCAAGTTCACGCACCACGTCAACCATATCATAAATAAAGCTAAAAATTTGTTTTCCAAATTAATTATATTTACCAGGCCAACTTGGGGTATTTGCTCTGAGAACATCAAAATTATCTACAATCAGGTGATACAGCCAATTATCTGCTACGGCGCTTCCATATGGCACTCTGCGCTTAAATATAAATTTTGCCAAAAAAAGCTAATATCCTTGCAGCGTGGCTTTGCCGTGAGAATAGTGAGAGGCTTCCGAACACTGAGCACAGAGGTCGCTATAATTCTTGCTCAACTCACACCCATTTGCTCTAAAGTGGAAGAAGTGGCAGAAATTGAAAGGGCTCGAGTGACTCGGGCGACTAAGATTTTACCCGATGCGATCCAGTGGGACTCCCCGGCACCCATAAGTGATCTGCTACATCCAGCACTGCGAAAGAAGATTAGTTTCGCCGAGGTCACTTCCACCGAAGAACTCACGACATTCCTAGATCCGCAATGTTATGCCGTGTATACAGATAGCAGCAAACGAGAGGAGGGTGTAGGAGCTGCTGTAGTCGCTCATCATCTTAATAGAAAATTGTATACTAAAAAACTAAAGCTTCACCCTACTTGTTCTGTGTTTCAGGCAGAGCTCCTGGCCATTAAGCATGCTTGCGAATGGGTTCTCAAAGGTGAGCATACTCCGGCTGTAGTAATGTCCGACAGCAAGTCTTCCTTAATGGAAATTAGCAACCCAAACAGCACCAACTCGCTGGTCGTCGATATTCACGCATCTTTACATGAAGCTGATTCACGAGGCTTGACAATATCCTTCGCGTGGCTCCGCTCTCACGTCGGAATCGACGGCAATGAAGCAGCAGATACTGCCGCTAGAGCCGCGGCTGTGGGACGCTCCGCGACTGCATTCTCACTATTCCCTATGTCCTACGTAAAACATCATTATCAAACACTGGGCAAGGACGCAGAGAGACAGATGTTTGAAGACCCTAACAAGTGCTGCCACCTAAAAAAGTGGTGCCCATCATTTGATATACTCCAAGAGGTCCTAAGCGTATTGAAACCTGACTTTTACATTACACAACTTTTAAGTAACCATGGCTATCATAAGGAATACCTTTGCAGATTTCATATAACAACTGATGAATTATGCCCATGTAATAACACCGACATTCAGAACCTTGAACACCTCCTGAAATACTGTCCCCGTTTCGCCAGCAGCCGTTTAAATCACCAACTAGCGTGCCAACTATTAAACATTACGGAACCATACTCTCTTCAGCACATAATCAAGAAGGAAAACAGTACTAATTCATTCAAAACGCATTTGGTAAATATAATAGATAGCCTAAAGGCATTTAATAACACGTAATAATAAACTTATACAAACTATATTTATATATATTCCCCCTGATATATTATTATGTAAGTATAATAGACCTAGTGCTTCTAATAAAATGCGCTCAAACTTTATATGTGTTATAATACAATTCTTCATATGCGAAATACAAGGGGAAAACCCGATGTAAACCACTAGCATTGGGATTTTCAAATACCCTTACATATAAAAAAAAAAAAAAACTAAATCTACAAATAATAATTATTGTCTCTTTCAGAAAGCAATAGATGAATTAGTGAGGGAACTGAACGAAAAAGCAGACTGGATTCAAGTCGCGTCTTTACGCGACGACGTGAATAAAAATCTGGATATGCTAAGAAGCCGACTTCATGCCATGATGGAAATCGTAGGAGAACCACAAGCCGCTGCTGTGTCGCGAAGACTGCATCGTGATACAGCATGTTTATCTTGTGCTAGTCCAGCTCATATGGCCCTAGAAGAACCTGGCGTAATACCAGCATTACCTGCTCTCATACTACCTAGACCGCCCACAGTGGGAGCTGAAGCCCCAACAAAGACAAAAGAAAATCTCAAACTTTGTTATCCTGGTTTGCCAATACCACATCCAAAAGACCCTAGGTAAAGGATATTTTAATGCCAAATTATAGTTATTATTAATGTTTCAAAAATGAAAATCTATATCTATTATACCTAAATAGATCGTATGTAGAGATGGGCAATCCACCTGGGTGGGTTTAAAGTCTGGTGGGTAAAAACCGGGTGTTTTGGGTTTATTGGGTTTAAACCCCATAAACACCCAAATTTTTGGGTGTTTATGATTTTGTACTTCATCATCGTCATCTCAGCCGCAAGACGTCCACTATACTGGACATAGACAATATTATTATGCAGCCTACAGAATAAAAAACTTTTAATTTGATTTTGAGTTTATTAAGAAAGAGATGAAAGTAAAATGTAAAACTACAGTCAATCACTGTCAGATTCAGAGTTATTACAAGCGATGAATTGTATAGGTTCGATAGGCTCTATTTCGTCTAAACTGTTATGTTCATTTACTTGCTCAATGAAAGCTTCTAAGGTATTTTCTTCATTAAACTGAATGTCCTCGCATTCAGCTTTATGTTTAAGATTCCAGTTATAACAAATGAATGAAATTTTTTCAGTTCTTTCAGTTGTAAGTCGATTTCTTTTGTTATTATGTATGTAGCCTTGGATACTAAAGGAACGCTCAGTGGCTGCCGAAGTACAGGGAGCTGATAGAATACGAATCGCTACTTTGCTTAACTCAGTGGAACCACAAATACCTTTCCACCATATTAGGGGCTCAATGCTATCTAATGAGCTCCATACAAATCCTCTGGCCCAAAAGTTTTCTTTAGCTTTATAACACGCCAAATCTGCCATTACATTTGACAAACTTAAGTGTTGGCTTAAATTGTAGATAAACTCCATACCCTTAAGTTCTTCCTCTTGAGTAAGTTCGACTCCTAGAGTCCTGGGGTCTAGAATATATGCTGCAAAATGTATTGGCCTCATTGCCATATTGCATCTTGAAGATACTGATGTTAGAATCTGCTGTTTGCTTTCTTCGCTCAATGTCGAAATCTCATTTAATGCAAAACGTATCTTAGCTTGTACATCTCTAAATGTAATGTATGTGCGATGCAAACGATTCTGGTCGCTCTCTAAGTAAAATATGCTTTCAGTGACTGGTTCCAAAATACTTATACATTCCCCTGTCTTCGTCCAGAAATCATCACTTAGAATTAAATCTTTAATATCTCTTGAAATTACCACATCTTCTCTAACTGTTAATATTTGCAAAGCTATCTTATTTGCTTTCAAACTTTTTAACGAAGTAACATGACTTCCCCATCTTGTAGCACAAGGCAATTTTAGTGTTTGTGTAGAATCTTCACCCTGCCTTGATTTTATCAACAAGGAACTTAATCGTTGACTCCTTTTAACAGTTTTTATTATATTTATGGCTTGCATAATAAACACAGTTACTTCTTGTATCTTTACAATATCTTGGCACAACAAGTTAAGGATATGTGCACAGCAACCGAGAGGAACAACATGTGGATATTTGAGTTTTGTTAATTCGAATGCCTTTTGTATATTTCTAGCGTTATCGCCAATAAGTACAAGAAACTTATTTGCTCCATACACTTTCATTACTTTTTCAACTTCTTGGCTAAGGTATTCACTAGTGTGAGGATTACTTTCTGTATTCAAACTTTTAACGTATGCAGGTTGAGGTTTTGATATAAGAAAGTTTATTATTCCTTCATTTCTTAAATTAGACCAGCCATCGCACTGAAGGTGTAAGTAACTACAAGCATTTAGTTCCTCATTTAACTCAAAACGCATTTCTCTATATATTTTATCTAAGTATTTTGTCGCTAAAGCTTTACGTGAAGGTATTTTAAATTTTGGTTGCAATTTTTCGAAAAATTGTATCCATAAAGGATGTTGCACCATCGATAATGGCGTCCCTGTTACAAATATAGCTCTCGCTAATTCTGTTTTTATATGATCATCGGTGTCTTGAAACTCAGCATTTATTGTAGTGTTAGCAGACGACGAGGGGCTTATAAAAGAATCATTTGTCTCTATCTCTGACAGTCCAGACATTTTGGTTTTGGACGAGCTATCTTTTATAAGTTTCATAGAGTCTTTTAATGTTTCTGGAGATTTTGGACAAGTGATAAGATGTTGAAGCATTTTGGCAGCATTACTGAATTTGTAGACCTTATTACAAAGCTTGCAAGAAACAGACTTGTTTGGTAAAGTACGGTAGTGCTCCCATATGCGTAAATCTTTAGGTCTCCCCATTGAACCTAAAAAAATGAACGATGATTAGTTGGTCTGACGAAAATTCAACAATAGAGTGCCTATTTTTTTACAATGATTATTTCTTGTTATTTACAATAAATTTATTAAAAAAATAATAAAATAAATACAAAAAACCTTTGTAAAATTACATCTCCTCGGAGGATTAAACGCAGACGCTAGTTTATTATCGTATTGTTCTGTATTTTTCTCAGCAACTTCTTTAATTCGATTAGGTACTTACGCATATTATGTTAAAAATAAATATCTAGTACACATCTTAGGCTATCCACCATTATTATCCAATGACGACTCTCAGCTAACTATGCACTATCATCCAAAATAAACGTGTATGGAAAATTTTATCCCAGTCGGTTGAGGATTGAGGATAATTGCATCAACATACGAACATACCTACATACTTTTATTTACATAACGCAAGCTAAATAAAAGCTTGTAATAATACATCTAATTTTAAGTTAAAATTGTTAAGTGATCATGATATAATTGTATCATTCAAAAATCCACTTACCTTTAATTATTTCTTGTTAAGTATAAATATTATTTCAAATCTGCTCCCTTAATATGCACTTTTTTACTGCTTTTCCTACCTAACACGTTACCAGGAAGTCACGTTACCAGAGTCAGAGTAATAGTGAACACGTTTGACAGTGATTGTCGTCGCCTCATATTCAGCGTCGACGAATAGGGGAATCCCCAGTCATAATGTATTGCATGCGTGGCGGTCTTACTTCAAATCCATAAACAAAGAGATAATTACAGAACTCGATACTAGATGGCGCTGTTTTTGTTTGAAGAAAGTTTGCGGGCTAAAATACATAGAATTTCATCAATGACTTCCACAAAGAACAACATTTCTGTTTTTTCTAAGTCCGTATCTCTTCCGTATATTTCATAAGATATAAGCTTGGGCTACATTGTTATGCAACGTGATTTTGTCGCTGTCTTGCTAGCAGGGTTGACAGATATACGATTTAAATCGTACTCATACTATTATTTGTCTATTTTTTAATGTACGATCGTAAAGATTATGATCGTAATTCGCACAAAAACATACGACTTTTTGGTTACCTGGCAACATTTTTATTATGAAACGAACATGCTCACATCATTAGTCACATGCAACAATTTATTGGGGATTTCCCCTTCACATCTGGCAGTCCTGCTTGCTAGAATATAGGTAAGTCAGCCACAGTTACTGACGATCGATATTTAAAGGGTATTGTTTTTGTGCTAAATATTTCATAAAAACGTTATTTAATACTTTGTGGATTATTAATTTAGTTGATAATCACTGGAAGTAAAATGGATGCTAATTTGAGAGATCAAGATCTTCGTATAAAACAGTTAATAAAAGAAAATCTACGTAAGTACTCTTTTTATACCTAGGTAGGTAAGGTATAATAAACACAAAAGGTACTTAGATCGCGTGTGTTCGAAGCATTTATTCTAATAAATTTAATTTAAAATTGTAGAAAGAAAAAAATGTCTGCCAAGCCGTAGCCGAAGCCGATCTCCAAATATATTTGGCGATAGTGAGACCCAGTGTCCAGATGATTTACCCAGCGTCGTCGCAACAAAGAAAAAAACGAGGATAAAGTAAAAGAAAATTTACTGAAAGAAGAAACAAACTGTTCTAAATGCTTAATTTATGGAGAAGAGGATAAAAGAAATGAGTATTTCGGACTGTTAGTGGCTCAAGAATTTAAATATATACGGCCATGTGTGCGAACGAGGTGTTATGAAGAAATTTTAAAGTATCTACGGGAAGCAAAAGGCCAACATGTTGATCAACTGCAACATGAAAACACTGAAAATTAATTACTTTCATTTTATTATATATAGATTTTTAAAATTTCCTGAAATATTATTAGTTAACGTTTTATTTAATATTGTAGAATTGATCAATACAATTTATAAAAATAATTTATTGGTATTACTTACATATTTTCAAAAAAATACGTAAAAACCTATTTTTTTGGGTGATTATGGGAGTTTATGGGTGTTTATTGGGTTTTTACCAAAGCACCGGGTTTAAACCCGGTGCTTTGCCCATCTGTAGAGATACTTGTTACTGCAAATTGAAAATTTCGATCCATTCTTTATTAATATAAAAATACGCCGCGCAATTGTCGCCAGTACAACCAATAATAAATAATGTCATGAAAAAGAAAGCAAAATTTAGTTTTCAATGCATAAATAAATGTAAAACTAGATACAATAATATCGTCAACAGATTACATATCTGTCAACGGTATTGCGGAGGATCTCACACAATTGTACCGAACGCAATTAGTCGGGCACCCCCAGGAATGATCATTAATCCAGTATTTCGGCAAGTCGGTACAGGAGTTGGATCTGATGGTAAAGTAAGTATCAGTCCTTCACAAGAGTATCCCTATCTATCGTAAACTTCATTTTATTCGGCGGTAAACTCGTCAAAAGCGAACACGCCACATGAGAAAAATTTATTTTTATTTCATGAAGTGAAATTATAATTTATTATGTACTAATTTAATTGTACTGTCTCTAGACCTACATGACCGATGAAGGATTCATCAAAAAGCCTTGTTTGCCGTGCAATGCACCCGAGATGATGACACCTAAGCCTTCGATAGTAGAACGAGGTGACAAACGTCGTTATTCAAATCTTACAACACTATACTTACATCTTATCTCTTTAAATTTTAATATTATGTTAATTTACAGCTCCATTAGATATAGTGGATTCGGACATGACACCTACAGATTTTCGTGAACAATCAGAGGCGTACATTCAACCAGCAGACGCCGTATCTGTAACACCACCTCCTCCGATTGATGACGATTAATTTTATACTGTTATAATTTTATGGATTCGTAATTGTATTATTATAGTTTTATGACTCGATATATCGTTGGCATCTTATCAGTCAAATCGTAACAAAATAAAAATTATGACTGGAAATATATAAAAATCTAACTGTTCCTTGGTAAAAGTAGTTCATAAATACATTAGCTAGATTTCAGCTTATTAATTACAGAAGATTAACCCTCTGACCGCATTTTTTTTTTTGCTTCATTTTCGCACATCGCTTTGACAACAAATAGCAATGCGAGTGCCATCTAACGAAATTCTGAGAAACAAGATCAATCTACCAAAACAAAAATCGCGGGATAACAACGTCAATAAACATAAAAAATGCGAGCACGTCGAAATCGCGGGATGTGTGAAGTTAAAATAGTAGATACTGCACGCAGAAATCGCGGGATGACCGATCACAGGGTTAACATTCCTTTCCGTTACATGCATAATCATGAAAACGACACAAATGAATCCTTTTTTAATTTTGAAATTTTTAAGTATAAAATATAATTTTAATAAATATATTTTTTTTTTCTTTATTTCTATGAATCCCTAGTTTCACATATCTACTTGTATTTATATAGAAATAAAAAATTAATTTTCCTGTATTGATAAATTTAAATTAATTATGAAACTTTACGGATGAATAGGTAGAAGTCAGTTCATCTTGTAGGTAGTGTTAATAAAAAAATTGAGCTTACAGTATAATAAATATATTGTCATATATCAAAATTGGAAATCATCCAAGTGTGATCATATTTTCAGTAGTCTCTGCGTGCAATTGGTGATTGCTGGATGTAGATGGAGGCACCATATGGTGTGGTCCAACGAGGCAATACTGCATAGAGCAACTGGTATCTACCGTAGCGCCTGTGTAGATGATACAGTCTTGTAGGACGCAACTGTAACAAAATTATTACATAAACTTAACACAAATTAACATAAGTCTAAACTATTAAAAATATTAACAGTATAAAAACTCTAACAAAAAAATAAAAAAAAAAATCATATACATTTAGATCTCATAGAATACTGTAATAAGAAATTTAGTATTTCAAACTTTTGGGAAAAAAATAGATCTACATAGGTGTAGTATATAATAAAAAAAAATTATAAAACTCTACAGAATATGTTCACAGTATTAAATCCAATGTAAATCATCAAAAGATAAAATCCAATCAACTATCAATTCACCTTATGAAGTGTTTTACTTTCAATATTAGTATAATATTAGACAATGAACTAGTTAGCGGTGTCACTTTACCTTTTTTAGCCAGAATTTACATGCCTCTGAGACATATATAATTATATATAATACTGATGAGATTATTTTTATTTTTTATATAATAAGTTTTAATATTTGTACGTCTACAGTGTGGCAAAATAAGACTGGACTAATTTTTTTTCTAATGTAACACCTATAAAAATGTATTTCATTCCAGCAAGTTAATGAATTCTAATTCTATAGCATATAAACTACTAAATCAATCATATGTATATAAAATAAGTCCCATCATTTGACAGTATACTCGTAATCCTTACTAATTTTATAAATGTGAAAGTGAGTTTGTATTTTACCTCTTAGCACTTTAATGGTTTAATCAGTCTCTATGAAATTTAGTATACATATACTATAAGGCATAGTGGACATAGGGTACTTTTATCCTTATCAATGAATATACCCCAGCTGAGCTTACAGTCATAGAAAAGCTAATATATCATAAAACAACTGATAATATAGACATCAAATTAAGGTTTATTTATAGAAGTACTTTACAGTTGTTCTTGCACAGCTATTTTAGTTTGAATAATAATATATGATAGTAAGTTAAATTACAAGATATGGAGTCATACCACTTTAATTTGTCTGTAAACATCCAAACTATTAAATAACAAACCCTCACCATATTAAAAACCTTATATTTCTTGAACCAAAGTTAGAAATTTGTAGATCTGACTATTATTGTGCACAATAAATAACTACTATTGTGCATAATAATTACACATGAACAAAGAACTCAGGTATTCAGGTATAAAAATATATTAAAAGAAATATTAGTGCAAAAAGGATAGGACTTGACTATGTTATTCTTTAAATTGATTTAATTTTTTTATTTATGAACAGATTGAAATAAAACAAACACTAAATGTTAAGTAGAGCAAAGCACAATGCATTGGTAAAAACCGCATTCAAATCGGTGAAGCCGTTTCTGAGATTAACATGCATAAATGTACAGACAAATACACAAAAATTCTAAAAATCGTTGTTTTGGATTCTATTATGTTCATAAAGCCCCCTGTAATAATTTTTCTTATATATTTTGCATGTACAGACAGCGACCAATTATGATTTTATTATATGTATTGATTTACTGTAAAAAATTCCAATACCCTGCCAGGGTCCATGTATGAATGTGTTCATGTGATTTTCAGTGTATTCACAATACTGTACATGCAATAAATAATTAATCCTTACAAATTATGAAACATAAGGAATAGTTCATGGTGCTATTTGTTTATTGGTTACCACTTACTAATAAATGGGCCACAATTTACTTTGCTATTAATTAAATTGCATAAAAAAGTGAGAAAATACTACATACCCTTCTTTAATAGTTACATTGTTCATCAATATACAGTTAGTCAACCTGACTTTGTTCTCTATAACACAATTTGCTCCAATAAATGAGCTTTTTATAGATGTCTTTTCATTTACAATACTCTTTTCACCCACTGTGCTATTTTCATCTATTTGTTTAGTCTTCACCTCACTGGTTGAGTGAAATCTTTCTGTAAGGGATGATCCTGTCACCTCTTCCCATTTTGAGAGTATCTGAAACAGACATTATTAGATTAGTTTACATGTGCTTATCTAAAAGCAATACTGCTTCTACTAAAGAAAAATGATATATCATTTCTAACATTAAACATAATAATGCATTCTTAGATGTAGATGATGAAAGATCTCATAAGCAATACAGTACAAAATAATGTACTTTCCATTTACAAACTATGTATGTATATAGGTATGAGACAATGATAGAAACTTTTCACTAATATGCTATTATAGTTTTATCATAGCCTTTAATATAAAACAATTATTTCACTGCTCTCACTGTCAATATAGTAACAATAATTAAGAAAAATTCCAACAGAAAATTAATTTAATATATGGATTTTAATAACAAAGATTAAAAAACCAACACCTATTTCAAAATATGTACATATACCCATTTCTTTAATTTCTATATTGACTAACAATCTATATTATTATATTATGCACTGGTGTTATTATATGGCACTATTATTGTTATTGGCCTTGTAAGTCCTAGCAAAATAATAGGCCACCTGTTTCTTTCCTGTGAGTACTGTAAGAGACAAGTAAGGAAAAGTGAGGAATGGGCAGCAGCATCCCTCTTAAAACATCTCCAAAGTTTCAATGCAGTTGTCAATCCGCCTGCCAAGTGTGGCAACTATTGGCAAAACTCCCCAAGGAGGAAGCTTATGTTTAGCAATGGACAGTTAAAGGTTGATATGATGATAATGATTACTGTTAAATTGTTACAATTTCATCCACCTTACAAACTAATCAATAGACTATATATATTTATATATAGCTAATATACAAAAATATATTTAAAAGTAGCATATATGTAGAAATACTTAATTAGATACCTTGTTGTTACACAGATAAAATGTTGAGAGTGTATTAATTCTCATGCCAAATGTACTTTTATTTGGAATATGGGCATAGCACCTCAATAAGTCATTATAATTAACACCTTTGCTTCCATTATCATTGTATGAAGACATCTCCCTGATTTTAGACTCAAAGCCATTCTCAACAGCATAATCAAAAATATCAACTGATATATCTACATTTTTCTCTGACAATCCTTTCTTATCACTCACATTTTTAGGTTTAGATAACTGCTTTTTTACAATGTAAGGTATTAATTCTCCTTTAATAGAAGTAAATTTTTCTGATTCAACAAGGTAGTTCATAATCCATTTCTTCATGACATAAACATGGGCATCTAACAATCTACTGTACAAGCTAACAGACTCAAATTTTTTAATCACAATTCTAGGTAAAGTCACATTTTCTTCAAAATCACTTGCACTAGCTAAAAACACCAGTCGTTGGGTATCCTTATCGATACAAACCAAATCTCTATCTGGCTTCGTTTTAGATTTTAAGCCAGGAAGTTCTATCCATTCTTCAGGGCCATTATTAAAAAATAAAGTGGTCAGACTTGCATCATATTTCCTATGTAGATTAAGGACATCATTTAAATTAATATTTGTGATCAAATCGCCCGAAACAATTAATAAATCAGTTGTTGTTTTCAAAATTCTATTACTAATGTGTTTCATAGAATCTGCTGTACCCCAATCTTCTTCTGATGGGATAGGGATTAAAATATACTTAATTTTCAAGGGGCACTTTTCTAGAGCATTTGTAATAGCAGATTGATCATCACTTAAAACAACCACAAATGTTTCTGAAACAATAAATATTTTGAAATTTTGGCCTAAGGGACTAAAATTTGTTTTTTTTTATACCACTGATATCGCAAATAAGCATACGGCCCACCTAATGGTAAGCGGTTACCATAGCCTATAAATGCCTGCAATATCAGAGATATTGTGCACCTGTTGCCAACCCTGAAGAAACCTCTTTACCCCCTTTTTTAAGAACCCCATGGTGTAGTCTCTTGGGAAAACCTCAGCAGGGAGCTCATTCCATAACCTGAGTGTTGATGGGAGAAAACATCTCTGAAACTGCGTTGTATGCAACCATTTAGGCTATAGGGTTGAGGTTATGTTATATTTGTAAAGTAAATTAGGACATTTCAAAGAATCTATTAAATATACCTTGAAACCCCATCTTCTCCAACATATTTAATGTATACCATAACACAGGATATGGTCCAACTGGCAGGAGGCACTTTGAAACAGCTCCTCCGACATCTGGTAAGCGGGAACCTCTTCCAGCTGCCAGCACTAGTGATTGAAATTCCAGTATTTTATACATTTTACTAGATGTCCATTTACAATCTGTGAGAATCTGTAAGATAAGTAATAAGCTTAGGTAATAAGGTTATGTTTATAATATATACTTTCAAATTAAATTATTTCAGATAATCTAATTACAATATATCCTCTGCAATAGGAACTTCAACTTTCTTTCTATTATTTATTTCTTTGTAATTGAAATATTCTGAATAAAATTCACTGCCAAGAAAAAGACAATCATACAACCAGACAAAGACAACTGACAACTAGGGATGCAAACGATACATCGAATTTTTCTAACATCGATGTTTTAACATCAATGTTGAAATTCTAAACATCGACGATACATCGTTCTTCATGAGCGATGTTTTATGAACGATTTATAAAATAAATAAATAAATACGAAAAATGACACTATGAATAATCATAGTGTCATTTTTTGTGTTCTGGTGAAGGGAGACGCGTAGAAGATGTGGGATGACATGAAGGGATTATTTCCTGGGCTCCATAGTCTAGCTATGATCTAATAACCTATCATGGCAACTGCGGTACCCAGTGAGCAGTTATTCTCAAAAGCTGAAGCGACAATCACCCAGGAGAGAAACCGCTTACTGGGCACCGAGTTGTCAAAATTGTTATTTTTAAACTCTATTTTAAAGAAATAAACTTAAAAAATAAAAAAATGTTTGATAATATAAATTTGTTTTTGTTAATATAGTTATTTTTTCATTTCCGTTAAACATGCATTTTTATTCGATATATATATATAGATATATGTATATTCGAATAGTGGTAAAAACATCGAAAAAAAATAGATATATTGTTCATAAACTTCGATGTTTTCAAAATCAATATTTCACATTTCAAAACATCGATGTTCTAATATCGATGTTTTTTATAAGCGATGTTGATCCCTACTGACAACTTCACTGACAAGTACTTTTTTAAGATAGTTTTACGACTTTAGATGTTTTACGACTTTAGATGTTTTACGGCTTTAGATGTTTTCTTTAAGCCCATCTCTAACTATCCTACTTATTGTAGTGAATATTGTTCTCAAAAATTTTACATATTTCAATCTATATCTTGATATAATTACAGTGTTACAATAGTATGAAGGATATACCTAGTAGCTATAGTCCAAAGCAAATAATCGCTACGTTATATCTATAATAATAATATCAGTTCCTTTATTTTTTTCCACAGGCACCACTATCAGTTTAAATTAAGACTGACCATTTTTTTCCACTAAACATCAATATTTGAATTAATTCAAATCGTAATCTGATAAAAAATTGCGGATTTCACATTTGTTTTCCTAAAGGTTTACCTTAAAAACTGGAGTATGTTTTATATTATATTAGTACGCTATTAAAAGGTCTATTAATAAAAAACTAAACTAAAACTAATGAAGTTTTCCAACTTCTGAAATCCACACATATGGAGTAACTAGCAAAAAGTAATAAATAGACGATGATTCATTTATAATTTGACAAAAAGATTATTATTGTCTGATATTGAAAGACTGATATTGAAAGTTTTTCAGAATTAATCAATCTCAAATATTTAATCCTTAAATTTATTAAACATGAAAGTGAGTTTGTTTGTTTATTTGTTATATTTTTTGAGAATAAGTAAACAGGATATTTTTATATTGCCCAACTAAACAAAATAATGCTTATTCTTTATCCATAGTAGAGCACTAAACAGAAAATTAGCTATGTATAGGTACAAGCATAAATATAATAGTAATACTAAATAGCTAATAGGCACTTAAATATATTAATTTGAATACCTACATAGCGTAATTAATAAAAGTTAGCAATGTATAGAAATCAAACCCGCAACCACTGGATGTTGTTAATAAATAAGACTTTCTTATAATAATCATAAAAATATATTGTTCACCACAGCTTCGTCTCTACAAACACCAACAGATATTCTTCCAACCCCTTGGAAAATTCCATGAAACAAAATAAATTATTTTTTGGAAATTTGGTATTTTTTTTTTTAGATATTGTTAATTCACATATATTACAAAATAAATAGTTGAATATATAATAAAATTAATAAAATATTGTATTCTTTATATTATATCTAAAGAATTATTTATACAATTAAATCTTTTTTATTTAAAAATAAAAATTGTGTATCCTCGACTTGAGTGTTCAACTCACATTTGACCTTTTTTTTTGCAATAGTAAAATTTTGTTAACCCTTAATCTGTATGTACTTTATATTTAAGACAATAATATATAAATAGATATGAAGAATTGTTTGATACATATTACTCAAGTATACTGAAATTAGTGAAACATGCTGTGGGATTGTGACATCAACTACCTATTATCATGCAGTATGCTATTACTTACTAATTAATCATGCGTACTATAGCATAGGTTTTATTTAGAGATTCTCAAAGTTTACCGCAACGGTTTTGTGCCCATTTCTTTTCTTAATCACGACTGCTAAGTACAATAATCAGACCACAAAGAAAGATTGAGAAAGCAGATAGATCGATCTAAACTTGGGCAGTATTACAATTCTTTCCAACGGTGCATAACCAATATCGATGGTGAATACTCAGCTGCAATTTCCCAGCAATATAATAATTATGGCAAACTCATTTGTTAAGGCCCGTATTAAATTCATAGTTTTAAAGATTTTATTTTAAAAATTATACAAAATGTTTTTCTTGAATTTGAGTTTTCCGCCAAACAAAAACAGTAAAAAAGTTGCAGGCAACAGCTATTGTCTTTCAAACTATAATAGATACTATTTGGTAAACGTGAAACATAAATACCCAATCTAGGTAGTAGCAACTAGAATTCTCCATCTAGTTTTACTCTCTTAGTTTTACTTGCTTGGGTACCTCTGTCCCATTCGTGTTTCAGACGTGAAGCAGTTGTGTTTGCATGGCTGTGTTTCTGTTTGAAGGGTGAGATATGGCGTGAATTTACTGGGTACAGAGGAATAACACCTGAGTCCTCAGGAGTGGCAACGCATGGGGGGTATCTTGGGCGAAAAAGTATACTCTGTTATGTCCATGGTACTGCTCATGTCTATAGGCGACGGTTACCACTTTATATCAGGTGGGCCGTCAGCTTGTTTGCCATTCTAAGATGTATAAAAAAAAAGTTTCAGTACCTAATTAAAAATCGTGTACAAAGTATAAAATGAACAAAAAAGAATATAATAGCAAAAACAATCAAGTTTTGTGACATTGTCATAACTACTAATTCGTGTTTTTAACCTACATGTGCATTTGTTTCACATAGACAAACAATATATGCCCACTAAGATATAATCACCGAATGGTCTAAATAAACCAAACATCCACTTTAAGAAACATTGTATTAGATGTTGATTATGTAGACGATCTCCTGATATTTCTTAAGTAGGTATTTCCTTCGTCACTACTTTCAATAGATTACAATTCACATACGTAGTAGACTTACCTTTATCTATGATTACGTGAAGCCTACTTAGGTAAGGAAGTAATTAGTATATTTAATTAATATAATATGCAACTTAATGGCATATATAAATTTATATTTGCAGAGTTACATAAAAATGTTATATTTACAGGCTTTCCCTCGACATATTATTCGACATCTTATTCTATAGTATTCGAACTTTCATTCTTTTCTACCCAATGATAAGTTATATCAATTACATATCTTTATTTATATACATATTTGCATGTGGTATTGCAAATATATTGTGGTATGATATATTATTCACAGGAATACGAAAGAACCAAATATGTGGTGATGACAAGGTAAGTATTGTACGGAATAATTGTACGGAACCAGTACGAAAATATTTCAGTTGATTAAACACGAATCGAAAATATATCATTACAATTAATCAGTACATTAAAGATATCGATAAAATCATACAAAGAGAAACAGTAAACCTTTGAATCATTTTATGTTTCGCTAAAAACTAATAATGCGATAAATAATAAGCAGGTATTGCACTATCCTATTGCACTAGGTGTTCTATAATATAAATACAATACATTACATTTAGATATTACCAAGAGCTTGCACAAAACGTACTACATGTATATAATTGTGTTTATAAAGATACCTATATAAAACAAGCAATCAATATCTTATGTTGTAATTCCACATTCACCGTAGGTATCTTGTAAATGTGATATAATCCTCGTTGCAGCGCATCTGATCGAGTTACAAAATAGGAAAAGACCTCATTACGCCTAGACCAAATAACCTAAAATCACTAGTCTTAGAACCGATATATGTATTACAAAATAATAACAGCAACTTCACTAAGAAAAAAATTTATGAATCACAATGAAATATAGGTCGATAGTTTATATAGGTAGGTACATATAAATTGAAAAATAACTCCAATTATTGTGGTTACTAAAAAGTAACTTTCCTAATAGCAGCTACATAAACAAAAAACTCTATTCTTCTTTCAGTCCGAAATAACTCTTCATCATCATCATATCAGCTTTTAACTGTCCACTGCTGAACATAAGCCTCCCTCTTGGGGGGGTTTGCCAGTAGATTCCACGCTTGGCAGGCGGATTGGCAAACGCAATTAGGCTTTGGAGATGTTTTAAGAGGGACGCTGCTGCCCATCCTTGTAAAGGCACAGAGATACTCTAGTAATTTCTTGTTGTAGTAACATCTAGTGATCTTTTATACTTTCACACACCTTTTTCTTTAACAAAAAAATTATACTTACCCACCCATATTTTAATTAATAAATTAATTGTTATAAAAATAAGCAAGAACACTTCTAAATCTGATACATGGGAAACCTTTAGTTAAACTCAATTATTACATCTAATCATTCTGTTTTTATAAATCAGCCGGTACCTGGGTATAGGTACTTTGTTTCATGATTTGCAGAAATAATATACGAATATATATAAAATAATTCATTATAAAACAATTTTTATATTTTTACAAAAACCATAAGTATTGTAACAATATTCATAACATCAAAAAAACCTGATATAAACATTCTACAATATTAGTGGAAATACGACATACATACATCAGCATAACGATATTTATTTAGCATATTTCAAAATATGTTCAAATAAATCTTTATATTCAATTATATTATTGATGAGTACTTTATATATTAATAACATTAATTTAACTAACAAAGTAATAAATATATTATTCTATGCAATACAAGTTACAAATTGGATCAATTTCAATACTAACTTGTAGAGTTCTTGATTTATTCGTTACTCTGCTGCATTTCTATGCCAAGGCTATAAGCATCATTGTTTGGTAGGTTTTATGCTCTACTTACTTCCCATATCTTATAACTATCTATTTTATAAGTTATTGTTGTCAAACAAAATGAAAATTTAAAATACGATAAATGAACTGTTACATTTCTTTCCATTTCAAATAGATTCCCTTGTCTGTATATTCACACCACTTTTATTTCTATCTTACATACATATTTATATATATTTATACCTATTAGCTGATCCGGAAAACCTATTTTTAGTAAGAAATAAACCGAGTATTATTTTTTTACTATTATATTGGGATAAAAATTATCTTGATCGAACATCGTGACACAAAATTTTTACATAATAAAATTTAAAGCGAGCAAAACAGTTTTATCTCAGATATTTATGATACCGATGCATAATAATATAATTAAGCTTTCTGTGCGAAGAGTGAGATCGCCCAAAACTGGTTGGTAGGTAAGTACATGCCTACCATCGATAGTTAGGTATCCTTTCTCTTAATATTTTATAAGCAAACAATGTTTAAATATTATAATAATCTGAAATACCTAACATAAATATACAAGTTAAATACTATCACGTTCCCATGTCTTTTATCAACTGCAACAAGCATTTCAACTTTTTTGTGACTGCAGAAAGCTTATATAATTTATAGAAATAATAATTTGCTCAAACTTAGATTATAGTGCAATAGCAGGTTTTAATGAAAGTGTGCGGCGTCTGCGGCCGGTCTGCGTCGCGGGCGCAGTACTAAACCGAACAAAACAGTCCGCGGAGCACTTTCCCAAGTAGTACACGCGCGTATAGCCAGCCCGCACTTACAACACTCGGAAACGTTCCGAAATTACGTGAACTCATTTAATGCCATTCCCATTCGAAATGTGCACTTAAAATACCAAATGTATGAAATATAAAATACTTATTTTGAATATCAGTAGCAGGTTTGTATTGCCCGTGTTTGTTTATGTGGGTGTCCTGTTATTTAAGTCGTTTTCAGATGTGTTTTATTATTTGATGACATTAAAAGACAAAAGTGCAAGGGTGCCGTTTAAAATCTGATGTTAATATCCTAGGTGAGTTGAAAAATTTTCATTATTCAGAAACATGTTTAAATGGAATGTGCCTACATCGTAACTTGTTACCACTATAGTCAATTCTAGAAAAAGAAACCGGGTTTATAATCGCACATAACATTTAATACCTTCATGGTAGATAACTTGTAATATAGTAATGAATTAGTTCATTCTCGAACATAATTAAAATTTATATATGAAACTGGTGCGTCTTGCACAAGATCTGTGCAGCGTACCGAAGACTGCAAGATCCATGACGTACAGAATGTAAATTATCATCTGTATAAGCCGGTCCGACAATGACTTCAAGGGATATTTTTTTTATAAATATTTATTATTGAATTTAAAATTTTAATTTACATAAAATACTCTATAATCATAACTATACACATTTTTATCAAAAAAAACAATAATTCTGAATTTATAAACATAACACTAGCTAAGATAAAAAGGTAAAGAAACTGCCTTTCAAATTGTATTCATATATCACTCACGGAGAGCTGTAACTCAATGTCAGACATGCAAAAACAAATACAAAGTCGTAATACAAAACTTGCTATAATTTTTAAGGAAACGCTTCCGTCTCCGTAACACACAGGCGAATCACGCAAAAACCCGCGTCTAGGTATGCAACATTGCAGCCGTTTGCTGTTCGGTAAATACGTAACGGTTAAAAACTGACCATTACGCTAACCCGCATTCCAATTGAGTAAACCAAAATTAAAATAGTGTTTTACATCACAAAAAAAGTACACAAATGCTAACTCATTTCAGCTACAGCTAAATACCTGTATTATTAAGTCGTAACTTAAGATTCGCAAAATAACATACTTAAAAGATAGGGATATATTTTTTAATCGAATAAAATGTACCCCATGGCCATCTCCATCCCAAAAATTATATTAGATAGTTCTAATGGTAATGGAAAATTGATTCCTGTTTAGAAAACTGTTAAATTGAATTTATAATTTAACTAATCTGCCTGCGTCTACGTCTTTAACCGTATGAATTAGTATATAAAGTACCCTATGTGCTGGGTAAGAATATAACCTAATGGTGTACCAAACTCTATTTAAATCTGTTCAGTAATTTTTGCGTGAACAAGTAACAAATATCAATCCATCTATTCATTTATCTTTACAAAGTTTCGCATTTATATTATTAATAGCACATTTCCTACAATACATATATTATAATTACATATACAAATAATTAATTATTTGATAATCGTCCGTCAATCACTTGTTAATTCATTGCGACCAATTTAGCAACTTGAAACTCATTTACGTAAACTACGATATATATATATATATATATATATATATATAGTTCATCATTATGATAATACTTGTCTAATGTATGTATAAGTTTTAGATCAATTCCGACAACGTTACCTACAGAGTTTGTATACAAATTAAACAATGTCAACAATGAGCCCAACAGTTTATAATACTCATAGGTTACTACAGAACGTTGCTAATATTTAATTAGTAATATTTTAAATTTCATAAACTCAAAGAAACGTATTCACCTTAATTCGATTTTCATTCAATCAATTAATTGATCGCTATCAGATGCGTTCGTGCTATCAGTACCTGTGTTGCACAATACCCCTCTTTGTCGTGTACACCTTGTTGTGTCCACTAGCTACGCGGGGCACGTGCGCGTTAGGCAAGCCCCCAGGCTTCGACGAACCGCTTGCAAAATGCATCGCTTTCTAATCACTGGAACCTTCGAAAAATACACAAAATATTGTAAACATACATCTGAAAACACGCATTATTATGTAGAATAAATAGGAAGTGCTTTTTTCCTTTCGAGAAAGTATTCTTAAAATGCCTTTGCTATCCAAATTTGTAACACTGTAGATGGTAAATAGTGGTCATTCAGGTCAAGTGTTTGGCTTTTGCATTTAAGGTACATACACTTAAAATTTATGTGAATTTAAACCTACATAATAATATTTATTACGACACTTGACCTTTTAGGTTAATGATATTTTTGTTTTCTATTTTAACTTAAGCGTGTAGCATAGCACCTTATCTTAAATATAATTTTCTACTAGAGGAATCATGCGACCATTCAAAAAGATTTTATAGACAAAAAGAATCTTATGTGAAAAACTTCTTTACAGCACAAAGTTGGTAGTGAAAATCCCAAAGGTTTCAAGAACATATTATCCATGATTGTAATATTGTTTTGCAATAATAATAATAAATGCTACATTATCACACCAATCGCCTAGACCTCAAACTAGGATAATTTTACTGTTCATTGTAAGGAACCAGACAATAAACATATTGGGACGAGATCCAAAATACTTAGACCAGATCTATTTCGTCCAAAAAGTGCGTTTTTTAAACTGAGCCAGCTAATAATCGAACCCTGGATCTCGTCTACACAAAGCATCATACCACAAAAGTCATTAACGAAACTAAAACTGCAACTCCAAGAATAACATTAAACGATACATAATTATCATTTACATTTAATACGATTATAAAAAACTTTTTTTACTAGTTTATAATTAATAATTAAACGCATTTATTCTCACGCCGCGGAGCGCGGCGTTAAAATGACTGTTGCGTAAATTGAATCGCAAATTGAATGCGTTTGTAGTATTTAATTTTCATTTTTCTCATAGTCCATCCGCTATAGAATGACAGGAAACTCAACAGTCTGCTATTAAAATGTTACCATGTAATAAATGTGGGACTAAGCAAGAAACAGTGAAAGTTCTAAATAAAATAACATGATGGCTAAACTAATATGACATGCATTGTATTAATTATTTTAATCATTATTTTTTATTAGGTATTTATCTTACCTGCTAATCAGAATTATATATATAAATCTCCTCATAGAATTTTGATAATAGAGATATATTTCAGATAGATAAATCACATAATTTTATATATTTACTGAAATTTACTGTTTTATTTGCTTAATTTCATTATCTATCATCTCATAGAATTGTTGGTTAAATCAAGTCTGACACATACGACAATTATAAGATACCTCTATAATTTCTAAGCACAGGTTCGTTGCAACATGTTGTCCTCATTACGTACATAGCAAGAAATATCTGATATCCTTTGCCTTAAACTTATTTTAAATTATTTCATTATCATACTAAACTTCACGCATTACAAAGCCAGATATTTATCATTACTACATCTCAATAAGCTTTATTTATAAATAAGCTATAATATTATATTATAATATTATAAGTTATTTATAGTTTTAAGCTATATATATATATATAATATTTATAATATATAGAAATCGATAAATTTTGCCTCCAAACAATAAACACCTCATGCATAACAATTAATCCAAAATAAATAAAGAATGAGTAAGCTGTGGAATCACTATTAATCATGAAGATTGAAGATTTCCCGATACGTAAATATATTAATAAGGAAAAAATGAAATATTGAACGGAGAATAGAAAACATACATATATAACACTGAGCCGAGTACAAAGCGCTTGTTTTGTTGCATCCGCCGCCTGAAACTTAGCCTTACATAAAATTACTAGAAAATAATAAATGTCTACAGTTTAGATCGTTGAATAATTTTCACGTAATTATACTTCTTGTTCTTATAAAATCACAGAAGGTTCGCCACCACCAAAAGTCTCCTTGCTGAACGATTCACAGCAACACAATTGATAGCGCAGTGAAACATTTGCTATATTTGTAATTAATGTAAACCCTGAACTTTAGTTCCAGCATATAATTTTGTGTCGTGTTTATTTTAAATGTGTAGAGTCTCAACCTGGAATACTTCAGGTCGACTTGATTGAACTTGAACTGGCGCAAGGTGAGTAGACTTCACTAGTTTCGCATATTACTAATCTTTTTTTACTAATACATCGTCCTTACAATCCCCTGAATTCTAAAACACAATTATATAATTTAATATTATAACTATAATATCAAGTTAATCAAATTGCCTCCTGATATACCATATCGACGAGAAAATCAAGACCTGCAAATATTTTATGTGATCGTTCTTGCGGAATCTACGGAATTTGTAGAATAAAGATTAATCTATATCCTTCTCCCTTCCAATAGGCACAACACTTTAGGTATTGCATGTTGCATGCATGCAATTTCATGATGAATAATTACGCTATGCCATAGCGGCTATGGTAATAAAGAAACAAATATACTTTCACATTTAATATAATATTAACACAAAATGATTTTTTTGCAAAACTTAATTTATAAATGTATAGATATGATGTAAGTATAATAAATATTTCATTATTTTGTAAAATTTCACACTCCTTGCAGCTGAGGTCAACAAAACCCACGAGTTTCCCGACATAAATAACGTAAACTTGCGGAATTGAGATTTAGTTATTGGATTGAATCTTCTTAGAAATATCAAACTTTATGGCAAATCCTCGAATACATACAATATAAATTATCGATTACCAACAACTAACGAAACAACTTGACATGATTTAGTTAATTTTTTATTGCGTCTAAAGCAGAATAAAATAAAATATTTCCATCTCGTGTCTAGTTACAATAAATACTACTATATCAGTCATAAACAATTGAAACATGTAACATTGTGACATGACTTGTATCAAGGTTACAAATAAAATGCCCAATAACGCACGCGTGCAAAATCACTATATTACCAATTGCTAAATTTTACTATTTTTGTGTATTGCTAAAACTTTAAGCTACGCGATAACTTCATCATTCTGAACTACGAATTACCTTTTTTTATCAATCAATATAAATATTTCTAATATCATTCTAATATCACAATTAAACTAACAGATAATGTTAAAGATAAAAAAAATTATGCAGATTAATACTTTACTCGCTGTAAATTTTAGTTGTTTCAGTTACAAAAAAAAATACTTAATAGAATATAAAATATGATAATATATAATATGTGATAATTTAATAAAATGAGATTTTATGTATAAATAATAAATAAATTTCCTTTTCACTTTAAAAAAACACTTCATCCTT